GTCCTCTCAAGACATAAGGTTTGAGTTGCTCGATTGATGTGGCCTGGTTTTAGCCCAGTTTTTAATCCAATTAAAGAAAGCCTTTTAGGTACTGTGGGGAACGGAAGCATTCATTTATGACTAACAGCATTTACATGGAGGGTAAGCTTTACATACCATACCCTGGCATTTTAACAACTATAAATGACCTGCCTTTCAGTTTGTTCATCCTTTGTGGGAATAAAATCATATCTTCAGGAAATAATTAAAAAGAAAACGATCGGTTTATACAATGATGATTTAGATTGCTACCTAGGAATGTCCCAGAAAATGTAGAGTAAAACATCATTGTGAGAAGTGACAAAAGTATATTCACTGTCATGTAGAAGCATGTGAAGAAATTAGAACTGCAAGCTGTGGATGTTTCAAGGGAAAGGGTTTAACTCTCAATGTTTGTTGTTCTATGTGTTTCTCTGGCTTTGCTGATTAGATCTGAAATCAGGAGGACAGCCCGCAGAGGCGGGCAAGGCGAGGGTTAGGAGACAGGTCACAGGAGACACACAGAGTGTCCCTCAGAAGGCCCACACTCCATTGCATGCAGCATTTTGTCTTTGGTATTCTCCTCACCATCTAGCCAGCTTCACAACAAAGCACAGGAACAACCAAAACAAAGAAAACCACCCTTCCTACCGGTTGATCGGTTCCTCATCCATTGACATAGCCCAGCTGGCCAAGATGTTCAGTAGCCAATAGAAAATTGATCAACGAAAACCCCCAAATGGTTCTTTTCTTATAGTCTTCCACCAAGCCAGTTTTCCCCGAACTACAACAGTTTGACTAATTTTTCATCTTCTATGCATGAATTTCACATTTCCTTTTGCTGATATTTTTCTTAGCAGTTCCAGCTCCATATCACAAAAATCTGAGGCAATTTGGAGCACTCTCAACCGATCTGTCGTTATTCCAGAGAACTCCTTCTGTATTATCTTACATTGCGACTGTCGTCGTAGAAATAAGTGATTGTTCCTGAGTGGGCCAAGCACTCGGCCAACGTTTTTTCTTTGTTTCACCTTTAGAACCAGCCTCCAATGTGGGCTTCTTCCACCCTCCTGCTTAAGGTCACTTAGATAACAAGGGCCAGAGACAGGACTTGGTCCTGGGTGTGCCTGGCACTGACCCCGTGCTCCACACCTCCCAGGTGCCATTTCTGAGCTTTTCTTCTGGTTTTAGGGAAAGCACTGAAGAGCCAGGCTAAGGCCAATCAGAGACAACTCCCTAGGGAGCCCCTTCCCAGTGAACAGGGAACCCCTGATTCATGCTCTTTGGATATTGGGGTTCACCTCATTGCAACTCACTTAGAAAAACTACTGTGGCCCAACCTTCTCTATTTTATTCACAAGAATTTTGTAAAAGACTATTAAATGCTTTGCAGAACATCTGTGTTTCTTGCCAGACCCCCCACACACACACACTGGGGATTGAATCCAGGGCCTTTAGCCTTCTCGCGAAGCTACATCCCGGCCCTTTTTTCACTTTTTTACTTTTTCTACTTTTCATTTTGAGTCAGGATCTCACTAAGTTGCCTGGGCTGGCCTTGAATTTGCAATCCTCCTGCCTCAGCCTCCCAATTAGTTGGGATTACAGGCCTGTGCCATGACATTCAGCTGTCTTTCCTCCCATGAAGTTTCCTCATCTCTGATATGCATTATTCTCTCCCCCATTGAATTATTCTGCACACTGAGCTCAGTGAGACCCTAACCACTCCAAATGTTCCAGAGGTCTCTCTCTTCTGTAGGAGGTGTTCTCAGCTCAGCTCCAGGGTGCCCCAGGGAAATTTATAACCTCAAGAAACTATAATTGTGCTTCACATTCTCTGAACGCTATAAAACATGCACTTTGTTCTGAAGAGCAACCATAGACTTCTATACGATTATCAAAAGAGAACTTAGATCCTTAATGCTTATAATTCATTTAAATAAAGACACAAATTCCTGAGTATTTATACAAAAGTCTTAACGACCTAGTTCTGTGCCAGCCAGGTTTCTCCGCTCCTCTGAGTCGGCCATGCCTGCCTCAGTCACCCGGAGCAGGTCATGTCCTGGGCTTTCTCACCAGCCCTGGGCCTCAGCCCGCCGGCACTGAGACCCTGCACACGTGCAGACCCTGACCCTAGCAAGACCTTCTACAGAGCTGTGCACTGCAGTCTCCTTTATAGCATTTCTAGAAGTCTGTAATCACTGGTGGCAGACCTGTCTGCCCCCTGGCCAAGGCCCAGAAAGGAACATCCAGCCCTCTCCACTCTGGCCTCGTTAGGGAAGCCTTTCTCCTCCAGACACTGGCTCTTCCTCAGTAAATACGGAACCAAGGAGAGAGCAGAGAAACTGAGCGACTCTCTCATGACACCATGGCCTGTCTTTTGTGCCTCTGTGGTTGACAAATGTGTATAGACTTCTCTCTGAGACTCCACAGTGATGTGTGACTCAGTGTGTGTTTACCAAAGAGTGATGCATTCTTGGCCCGGTTTTAGGAGTGCAGAGTGCCATACAGGAAGCTCAGCCAAGTCCTCCCTTTAAAAGTCTGCAGTCCCACAGGCCAGAGAGACTTAGACCTGCACACTCTGAAGGTAACATCGTCATTTGCTTGCCCTGGAATGACACCATGATGGCCTGCCAAGGAGGCACAACAATATAGTTCTCAGAACCTAACTTTTGAATTCATACAAACCTCAATACCAGTGGTAAATTTCTGTATACCACTTATACAAGTCTGAGCAAGAAGTATAATAAATTCATTGTGTCTGTGTTTCTGCATTACCAAATTTTCTGTTACTATGACAAAATACTTGAGACAATCAGAGGAAAGTTTCTTTTGGCTCAGTTTCAGAAGCTGCAGTCCTTGGTCACTTGGCCCTATTGCTTTGGGCCTGTGGGGGCACAGGACACTTTGGTGGGAACATGCACTGGAGGAGGCCTCCTCACCTCATAGTGGACAAGAAAGGGGGGAGTGGTAGTCAGGTCCCAATATCCCCTGCAAGCTCATGCCCTAACCTCATGCCTCCCCTGGACCCCAGCTCCTTAAGGTTCTATCACCTCCCAATTGTGTCACAGGCTGGCCACCAAGCCTTTCACACATGGGCCTGGGGTACATGCTAGATCCAAATACAGCGGCTCTGTCAACTGTCAAAAAAAGGTAAAGTTTACTCCAAACATAATACACAGTGGGTGTGCAAAAGGTGATTGTGATGGAGGGGAGGCCTGCAGCAGATGGTGACAGTGGTGGTGGTGGTGGTGATGCTGATGGTGATGATGATGATGACGATGATGATGACGATGATGATGATCATGATGGTGATGATGATGATGATGATGATGATGATGATGATGATCATGATGGTGATGATGATGACGATGATGATGATCATGATGCTGATGATCATGATGCTGATGGTGATGTGCTGATGGTGATCATGATGCTGATGGTGATGTGCTGGTGGTGCTGATGGTGATGATGATGCTGCTGCTGATGGTACTGATGATGGTGATGATGATGGTACTGATGATGATGATGATGATGATGATGCTGATGATCATGATGGTGGTGATCATGATGCTGATGGTGATCATGATGCTGATGGTGATGTGCTGGTGGTGCTGATGGTGGTGGTGATGAGGGCACAATGAACTGTAGTGCCTGAGGACAAGAACTGTGTTAATCTTTGAATCTTCAGCACCCACAATAGTGCCTGGTACACAATCAGTATAAACAAAGATTTGTTGAACTAATGATCAGTTACCAAGTCCAAGCTACTGAGAGCCAAGAGAAGACAGAGAAAGAAGGGATTTGCATGAACTCAAGTCATCAAAGAAAGCTTGATTGAGGAGGGTGGTATCCAACACAAGGGTTTTTTTCACAGTAGAAAAGCACAGAAGCTACTCGGGCAAAAAAAAAAAAAAAAGTAATCAGAACACCAACCTATGTAGTCTGTGCCAGAGTGGAGAGGAACAAATAGCTTTTGTTTCACAGGAGGAGAAGCAGTGAGCAGGACATGAGTGCTTTTCACTCTTCTGTTCAGACCTTGCCTGGAGATGAACTCCCAACCGGCAGCCCTCTGCTCTGATCTTGTGGATACCACGTGTCCCCACAAAACAATAGAGTGAGCTGCTTCATAGCGACAACCTAGAGGGCACAGTGGTGAAAATATGAGCTTTATAGGGAGGCAAATCTGGGCTTGAATTTTTGTTTCACTACCTGAGTAATTATATTCTCTTGGGAAAGTCACTTTCCTCTCTGAACTTCAGGCTTCTCTTCTATAAAATGAGAAGCATCATCCCTCTCTCACACGACTGAGGTGGAGACTGAATGAAATAATTCATGTTGGGCACCTAATCCAGTACCCTGGGCATAGCAGGTGCTCAGTGAACATGCTGTTCTTTTTGATAGTGTAAATTGGTGCATTTATGGGCTTGTACTTAGTCAATGTGCATATTTCAATTATACGTGTTTGTAGACGTGTGAACTTGAGTTTATTTGATCTAAAGTAATTGAGCTTGTTATGTGGAAATAGTCCAGAAAGGGACTACATGTAGGACAATGTGTAACATGATCCCACTTGGCAAGGTTTTGAGTTTGAGCAATTGATTAGGTTGAATTCTCAAATAAGAAATAGAAAGCTAATAATTTTCTTTACTAACCACCTGCTGCACAAACTGTCATGCAAATACTGCCTGATGCTTTATGCAAAACATTTGAAAGCTCCTGTGACTTTGTCCTTCTGCTTGGATTTTCCTCTGTAGTGAAATACACCGTAGAATTAATTTCAAGTGTGTTTGTCTGTAAACTAGCCAAATATTTCCTTTCAAATACTTGAGCTCTATGTTGGACATATGTACAGAGTTATGGTTGTGAACACATTCATTTCTGGTGTTAGATTTTATACCTTAATCCTTGAATGAGCTTTAAGCTCCACCCTTACTAGGCATCTCTTACACCTGTAATAAACAAAAGCTTTCGACTTCCCACAGGTTCTTCCCGGGGACCCAGCCCCCTAACCATGGGGGCCCAGGACACCCTCCCCGTGGCAGCGGCTTTCACGGAAACCGTCAACGCCTACTTCAAAGCTGCGGACCCCACCAAGTAAGCCCCAGACATGGTTCTCTGTGTGCTCCGCCCCCACCCTGGCGAGTAGGGACACCCACAATTAGACAGTTGTATTCCTCTGTCTAAAGCCAAAAAGAATTCCGTTAACAATAGCAGGTGACATGCCTAGGACAGAAGATAAAATTTAATTAGTGATATTAATCTACCGCTTTTTAAACAGGTACCAAAATATCCAATAATATCTTCCTAATGAGAAATCTCTCTGTTACAGTTGCAAGTAGCAGAAAATCTCAGTCTAATTCTGCAACAATCAGGAAGCTTATTGTCTCTTAGAAATAACATCCAGATCATAGCTTTTATTGCCTTAGTCTTCCCAGGATGAGAATCACCCACATATAAACTGTAACAGTGCATCACTAAAAACACACCTTCCCAAAACATCCAGAGTTGCAAGGGAACAAGCACTATGCTACCCTCACTGAGAAGGGCAGAATGGTCCCAAGTAAACTAAAATCAGAGCAAATTAAAAACTCACTCCCCTCTGTTTTCATGCACCTGATTTCACCAAGTCAATACCCACTGACCATGGCTTTGACCTGAATGCACATGTGATAGAATTTAATATTTTACCTCTTGGTAAGAATTCAGGAAGTCTATGGGTTCCCCAAAATTGCACTGCACATCTTACATGTTTGTTTATTGAAACTAGAGCATTTGTCACTTTAACAAAGAAGTTGGTGGTACAAAAAACATGACGGATGTGTACTGGTCACCAGCCATGTCCAACCTACAGCCTGCCAGCATTGTAGTAAAAAATACTTTTTAAAAAGGAATTTGTGTTATGTATATGCATTAACAATAGTATATATTTTACATATGTTCCAGCGTAATTCCTCTTTATTCAGTGTTGGCCCATGAAATCCAGATGTGTCCAAATCCAGGGGCCAAGGTTTCTAAACACTGAATACAAGGTCAGATTTGTTTCCAAATGTGTCATTTACGATTCCAGATCTGAATGTGATTGGCAAACAAAGGGGGACCATAGATGAGCCAAAATGGCTTTTAATCTTTTTACTTATGGATATGATCAAAAGATACAGTAATATTTAAATTAATTTTTTAATGCATTATAGTAAAAGACCCATCACTATGAATCCCTCTCAGAACACTCCACCCTCACCTCAAACACACTCATCCCATCACCCTCACCACTTCCTGCAGCAGCTCTGGAGGCCTCTCTCCTGAGAGTCTCTAGTTGCGCTGTCCTGGCTGCCTCAGTGGATTTGAAACATTTCCCTTTCATGGTCATTTGACTTTGGGGAAAGGCTGAAAGTCACCCTGTGCCAGATCCAGTGAATAAGGTGAATGAAGACCCAGTGTCATGTTTTTACAAGCTGCATTTCTGTTGGATGGTACTCAGCAGCAGCATTCACCAGATTTTTTATCACACCTCATAAAGACACTCAGGAACGAGCACTCCAGAGCTGCTGCAGAAAGTGGCAAAATGTTATGTAACTGTAGATCTTGCTCCTATGGTTAAAAGTACCAAATGAGCAGTTACCACAGTTTCTAGGCGGTCCTTGATGTTAGTGTTATTGATAACTGTATTACTTTAGCCAGGATGCCATACCTGTTGTAATCAGTCATTTACCTTTATGTGACAACACTGTGATTGTCTGGGGATATAATCATCACCAGAGTCCATTACTGAAGGACTGGGAGCTGAGCCAAATCCATAGCAACTTCTCATCCCTAATGAACTGGGAAGGTAGGGTCTTGGGATGGACACAAAGACCAAGAGCCAGCTATACCTAGAAGACATCTCTGAGGAGCAGACCTTTCCTAGGGCAGCCTCAATACTAGTGATAAAGCCACCTAACATGAGAAACTTACAAGCATCAACACACTTACAGCCTTCAACAAAAATGTGTTGATGCTTGTAAAACAAATTAAAATTTAAAAAACAGAAAATGATGAGATGCAGAAGCAAAATGCAACCCCAAACCTCCAGCCCATCCAGAGGACAACAAGACAGAGGAAATCAGAAGCCACCAATGAGAATTTTCTGGAATGACAGCAGCAGAAGTAAATAAACAGATGAATGAGGCTATAGAAAAAATCATAGAAGAAATAACCTCTCAGGTAAAAAATAAGAGATGATAATCACAATGAAGGACCTGTTCAGCAAATCTAGAGTGGACATAGATTTTTAAAAATTGAAGACCTTAGGAAAATGATGGAAACCATGAATGTGCAACATAGGAAAGAAATGGAATCCATGAAACAGATACCCAGGAAATTAAAAATTCCATTGAAAGTTTGTAAAGTCAGATGAACGAAAGTGAAGACAGACTATCCGACCGAGAAGAGAAGATTGCAGTGAGCGATCATGAAAAAGAAAGTAGCAAGATCCGTGGGATAAGTGTGTTCAAAGTGAAGCCCAGGATTCTGAGGGGGATTCTTGGCAATGTGTCTTTTGCTGTATTAACTATTTTTAATTTAAACAATTAAATGAAATTTTCATTATTCAATTCATTTGGATTGCACCTTGTACAAAGACTAGGCCTTAGAAAAAACTTCACCATCTACAATGAGAGGAACTAGAGAAAAAAATCACACATGCATACCAACTATGTCAAATTTTTTTGAATCAGGGATAATTACGTACAATGAAAACTTGGATCACCACATATATTTCAGTGGCAATTTGTATGACTAAGTGTGAATCCTATTTATAGTTCGGAAACACTTGTGTATTAAAGTCTGAGTCTCAACGTATTAGACTGAAACGCCAGCGTAATTATAACCCACCTTTAACTGCCCCACGCAGCCACACCCGGCCATGTCCCCAAATGTCACGTTTCTTTCCATACCGTCTACGTTTTGGTCCTGGCCCAGAATACTACAGAGAAACCAGCACAGTGGGCTCTGGTTTCTCCCTCATCCTTGTCCTTTCTTTCTGAAGTCCCTAGCCCACGTGCCCATCCTCGTACCCATGGAAATTAAGTCATCTTGCGCCGCACGCGTGTGTGAACGCCAAGGGCTTGGGCTGTGTCTGCACTTCCGGCCAGTGGTGGCTTCTGCGGGAGTCTCCTCGGATGAAGAACCTGCGTGCATTTCCACTGTAGCAGTGCTAAGAACTATGGCGCACCGAGCGACGACTCCTCTGGAAGCTCAGCCTGGCCGGAATTGAGAAAAACAGGCAGAAGCAGTCAGGAGTGCGGACACGAGGTGTGCTCCTGAGAGCCACACAGAAATGAATTCTTCAGTGCCTGCTCCCTAACTGTCTTTCAATCGGCCCCTGATCTATCCAGAAAGACCTAGTGGTCCCCCCTTCCCTCTGCCCCCTGAGCACAGGCCCGTTTTCAACGTAGCAGCTCCCCCTGCGCTCAGAACCCCCTGATCTTGCTCAGAGTCCGAATAAGATGCTTCCAAAAGGCGGAGAAGGCCCCAAGGCGCTCTGGGACCGGGTCCCACCCACTGGCCCTCTCCGGTCCCTGCCCCCGCCCTCCTGGGCTCTGATCTCCTCCCCCTCTCCTCCCGGCCCCCTCCTCCCATCACCCCGTGGGCACCTCAGGTCTCTCATTTGTCTCTTTCTGCTTTTGTGGAGTTTCCTGCCACGTATGGAAGTGACTTGTCCCTTCAGTTCCTTCATGAACTTTTAGTAAATTTATCAAAGGGAACTTCCCACCCTGGGTGTGGTGGGGATGCCTTTCATCCAGCACTCTGGGAGGCTGAGCCGGGAGGATTGCAGGTGTGAGCCAGATCTGGGCCATGTAAAGACTTAGTGAGGTGCTGACTCAAAATTTAAAAATAAAAATTAAAAAGGGGCTGGGGTTCAGTGCAAAGGCTCTGGGTTCAGTCCTCAGTACCAAAAAGAAACAAACAACTTCCCTCCCCTCTATAGCTCACTTTTTCTTTCTTATAGTCTTCTCCCTAAATCTCACATGGTTCTCCTACTGCCTGTTGCCTGTCTCTTCCCCCCAGAATGTAAACTCGGGAGAGCTGGATTATTTTGTATTATTTATTTATTGTGGTTTTTTTGAGACAGGGGCCTGTTATATGATTCACGCTGGCCTTGAACTCACTACCTAGCCCAAGCTGTCCTGGTTTTTCATCCTGGCTGAGTTTCCCCAGCACACGGTGACAGTGCGGTATTGTCCATGACACTGCTAATTCCAGTGATGTAGCACTGAGCCTACTGAACAGCAGTGCTTCCCTGTTCCCTCCCAAATTAAGGAACCTTTGAGCTGTGGATATGTGTGCAATCTCTTCGTTTATGTTGCCATAAGTACAGTAGTTGCAGTGGACCCTGTACACTGGGAGATGGAGACCCAGTATATTTCATTGAAATTTTGAGATCTGATACTGATAGAAACAGTTAAGGTCAAAACCCCCTTTGGTGGATATAGAAAATATTGTTTTGCATAGAAAATGACAAGTCCACGTCAACCCTGGATAGATTTATCAATCAGCAAATTCTGACAGCGGAGATGCCAAAATATAATTGAGTGTTTCTAATCTGGACCATATGGATTCCACCTTCCACCCAATACTGCAAGCTCTTCAAAGACAGGAGGTGTTTTGATCATTTTTAAAAATTACTTCCTGCTCAAAAAAGTAGTAATGACTTGCAGTGAATAAATTCTTGCTGGCTTCGTAAGTGTCGCACACTCCCTCTCTGATTTGCTGTCAGAAAAGAACCTGACCCCTGTGAGGACCCTTCTGACCCTTTCAGAGCACTCTGGGATGGAAACTGAGAGGATGGACACTAAAAGCACTCAGGCCTCCGCTGCTGACAGTGCCCCACCTCCATGGCTGCTGGAATCTAAATTCGCAAGCGCTGCACTCACTGCTTCTCCCAGGCTGCTCCCTGCACACCTGTGCACTGACAACCTTCAGGAGTAGCTCAGTCTGGGGCCAACCCAGGCCAAGCCCATGTCAGAGTAGCAGTCAGGCGAGGTTAAGCATCTGCGAGGCGCAGGAGGAAAACAGCAGTTTGCACTCAAACTGGGAGATGAGCAGTACAAACTCCCAGAAACCAAAATCCTCAGTCAGAGCAGCGCAAAGATGCGGGTGACCTGTCGGAGTAAGGGAGAGACACGAAGCGATGAAAGGAAACTTGCCACCCCTGCCCCACCTACCCCAGGCCTGGCCTCACTCCTCCAAGGCCCTAGCGAGCAGTTCTTCACCTGAGCTACTTTGAATATGGACCAGGGAGCACCTCACCTGAGCCAGGTGTGCCCCACGAACCTCAGAGGCACACAGTGCACCGAGGGACGAGGGGAAAGCCAAGTCACCTGTGCTCCGCTGGGAGCAGCGTTTTCACCCACGAACCTGTTCCCTGGGAAGCACACTCCTGGGTCTAGACGCTCCCCATTTTACACACCGCTGTCCCTTGGCTGGGGGTGGAGGGTCGTGCCGGACACACGGCCCCACCCCCAGGGACACCAGAGCTGGTGCTCAAGTCCCCTCTGACACCGGATTTGTATGCAACCTTTCCACAGCTCCCGAAGACTTTAACTCATCTCCACGGTACCCACGGTTCATGATACACCGTCCAGGCTGTGGAAATAGCTACTGCGCTGAATTGTTTAGGAAATAAGGACAAGTAAAAGAACTCTGGCCATGTTCAACAAACACAGCTTTTTTCCAAATGGCTTTGGTTAAATCTGCAGATGCTTATGGCTGACTCTTTACTGTTTCCCGAGCAAATTAAGACCGTGAGGTGTCTCTTCTGGCTAAGGTGGGGACACCTCGTGCACAAGAAAAGCCCCAGTGCATTGCTAGAACCTTCTTGGAGAGCTTGAGGAGCCCCAAAGGAAAACGCTGTGTCTTCTTCTCGCAGTGTATCCGCGCGCCCTCTACTGACAAGACGTAGCATGGCACTTCTCGGCACAGAAAAAATACAGAAAAAGCTCCTCATTCACTGCCTCAGAATAAGAACTGAAGGTCACAATGAAACTGAGAGGCGGAAACCGGCACTGTGATTCTGAATCTCACAAGGGAATGAGAAGGACCCTGCAGTAGCCAAAACAACTTTGAGAAAGAACAAACTTGGAAGGCTAACGTTACTTGATTTCAGAACTATTATTAAAGCTACAGTAACCAAAGCAGTGGTGTTGGTTGAAAGATAAAACAAAAAACCTATCAACAAATAGAATGGTGGAACCAGAAACAGACCCCAAGCTTACGTAGACAGATGAATGTCAACAAAATTTCCAAGGTCGTTTGGTGAGAAAGGATTGTCTTTTCTCAATGGTGTTGGGATAATTAGATATTCATACACACACACACACACACACACACACACACTCACACAAAATGAACTCAAATCTACATTTCACGGTCCATACAAAACAATGAAAAATGGACCACAAATCTAAATGTAAAACTTTGTTTAAATCTACATAAATGTAAAACTACATTTAAAACTTCTAGAAGAAAATATAAGTGAAATTTTAGATTTGGCAAAGACCTCTTAAATAGGACATCAAAAGAATAGATGGATTAAATACATCCTATAAAAATAAATTAATGAATTTTAAAACTTTTGCTTCTCAAAATACTCTTAGGAGAAAGGAAAAAGCAAGCCACAGAATGAGAGGAAAATTTCTGGGAATTATTTATATGCTGTAGATATATATCTAGAATTATTAAAAAATCAAAATTCAATAAAAGAACAAAAATCTTGATTGAAAGTTTGGCAGAGAATTTGAGCAGATGCTTCTCCAAAGTAGATAACTGATAACAAAATGAGCACAGAAAAGGATGCCTCAGGGGCCAGGGATGTAGCTCAGTGGTCCTGCCACCTGCCTCGCAAGCACAATTTCCCCAGTTCAATCCCAGGTACCTCCCCCAAAAAAGATGCCTCAGGTCACAGCGAATTGAATTAATGATGTATCACCATTCATCAATTAAAATGGCTACAATTACAAAGACACATTCTGCCAAGTATTGGTGAGGATGTGAAAGAAACTTTCACACACAGCCGCATCTTCCACTTTAGAAAACAGTTGGGCAGTTTCTTTAAATGTTAAAAATACACCTGCCATGAGATCTACCCCTGTACTTACCAAGAGAAATGAGAACAAATGTCCGCAGGAAGACCTGTACAGACATATAGGCCACGCCTTAGTAATAGGCAAAACCTGGAAAGAAACGGAGTATTTTTCAACAGGTGAATGGATTAAAAAAAAAAAATTGATACGTCCATGCACCACACAGCAACAAAAAAGAACCAACTTTTGATGCATGCAACCAAATGGATGCATCTCAGAATACTTACCCTGGAAGAAAGAAGCCTGACTCCCCCCCAAAAAAGCACATACTTTATGATTGTGTTATGTAAAATTTTAGAATAACCAACTAACTGACAGTGATAGAAAACATAGTTAACAATTGCCTAGGGGTGAGAATGGGAAAGTTGGATGAGGGAGCTTACAAAAAGGGAATACAAAAAGAAAGAGGAAACTTTTAAGAATGCTGAAAATGTTTATCTTAGTTGTATGGCATACTAATCTGGTTTCCATTGTTGGGACGATGTCTGGTATACATAGTTTAAAGGAGAAAAGGAATTTATTTTAGCTTATTTTAGAAAATTCCATCCATGGTTGGCTGGCTGCAAGGCAGAAGCATCATGGCGGGATGGTATGGCTAAGGAAAGGTGCTCTACTGGTAGCTTGTGGGAAGGAAGGATGGGGAAGGAGCCAGACGGGAAGGGGCGAGGCCAACTACATTCTCAAGGCCACGCCCTCTTGGCTCACTTCCTGCAACCCAGACCCACCTCCTAATGGCCCCTCGGCTAGGAACTTATCCAGGGTTGGCGGTCTCACCATGCAGTCACCTCTCCAGCCAAGCTGACAATCAAGATCAGTCGATACAGGTCATGACTTCACATCATACAAACTCATGGAATTTCACACTGTAAATAAATGCAGTTCATGTGTGTTAACTGTATCTCCGTCGAGCCTTTTGTTTTTTAAGAGGTTTTTTCTTCCTTTCAAACTATCACCTTACTGTATTAATCTCTTTTTTCAATTTTTATTTGCTACCACATGTTTCTGTGTTAATTTCTATGGCTGAACTTACAGTTGTGACTGTATAGACAAGTTAATGACACAAAGAACTAATTGGGAAACAAGAAATTTACCTCACGAGAACATAAAAGACAATGCTCAAGGCACGGATCATGTTAAAGAACTAAAATAAGGCCAGAAAGTGTGATCATATTGTGCAGTTTAATGTCCCCAGATATGCTCCCCAAATTCACAAATCAAAAATCACAAGAGTAGGTGATTTCATTTATGAAGACTCGATGCTTCTCTTCCTATAGTTTAAAGAACATTCAGTAAAGTAGCCTGCCAGGTGTTAAGCGTGGAGTGCACAGATCTGTTAGAAATGACTCGGTTGTGGCGAGTGGACTTGTAAGATCTTGCCTTCTCCCATAGTGGTGCTTGCCTGTAATCCAGGGACTCTGGGAGGCTGAGGCAGGGGTACCACAAGTGCAACCCCAGCTTGGGCAATTTAGTGACTTAATGAACTAAAAATTTTTCAAAATTTTCTCAAAATAAAAATTTTTAAAAAGGACTGGGGATGTATCTGAAGGCCCTGGGTTCAACTCCCAGGCCTGAGGGGAAAGGAACTTGCCTTTCATCTCTTTTGCTGTTTTACACTGCTGAGCAAATCTCTTCTCTTCGTGATTGTTCTGATGCCCACAGGCTGACCTGGGCCTCCTCTCTTTCCTGTCCCATGTTTTGCCATCCAGGTGTATCGTGAAGATTACCGGAGAGATGGTGTTGTCTTTTCCTGCCGGCATCACCAGACACTTTGCCAACAACCCGTCCCCAGCGGCTCTGACCTTCCGGGTGATAAATTTCAGCAGGTTAGAACACGTCCTGCCAAATCCCCAACTGCTCTGCTGGTAAATATGATTCTGCATAAATTTTTAGAGCTATGGGTGGCTTAGCACTTTGTATTTGCATGAAGGGTGTACCGTAGCGCTATAGCTGAATTAACATTTGAGATATTCTTGCTGATTCAGACATAACTTTAACCAGCTGCATCTGTAGCTGCATATGTATATTTTAATAGCCAACTAATTAAACTGGTTAAAGAAGGGTTCAAAGTAATAAAATCTGTATTAGTGACAATTCATTCATTGTGTTCATTATCAGTAAACAGTGCGTACGGATGGTGTATAAAGAACCCATCCAATAATAGGAACTTCCTCTTATTTTATGAGCATCTTTTAAAATTATATAATAATTGAATTGTGAGCTGCTCTCCACATGAGCTTGAAAACCTTTTGTGTGAAACATAATTTCATTTGAACAGTAATTGTTTTGATGGAACTTTACATGTATAACATCAAAGAACCTCAAGCAAGTTTGTTTATATAAATATATTTTTTCACATTTTCTGTTAAACCTGAAGTGAGTCTCCTTATGCATATGCATATGCTCAGCCACACATTTATACACACTTGATACTGAAACGATCAGCTACATCAGGTTACTTATCTACAAACAAAAGAAGTCATTCTTGACATGGTTCTCTCCATCAGCAAGTCCACTCCTTCTAAAGATCACGCTCTACAGTGGCCCCTTTTTTCCTTTATTAAAATCTCCCTTGTACAAGTGACTGCCGTCATTTTTCTGGACCACAGCAATTGCTCCCCTCCCTGAACCCGGTCTTGCCATGCTTGGCAACGTGTTTACAGTCAGAGGACCTTTCATGAGACCCCTCAAGATATCTTTGGGCCACTAAGTTTGGCTTAAAAAATAATTCACTCTTTAAAGCAACCAATTGCCATCATGACTGGTTCATAGAACTGGCTACTCACTGAGATTTACAGCAATATGATAGCTCCTCCCTCCAGGTATTAATCTGTTAATAGAACAGTATTCAGAACTGCGTTGTACTAAAACCACAGTACTGTAAATGCTATAAGTTCACCAGTTGTCAAGATGGACACAGAAATCAGATGGATATTTGCTAAGATGCTTCTTATGTACATGATATTTGTTATAAGGTGCTAATCGATTATTTCTCTTCCCTATTGAACAGTGATAACACTCAAAATGATGCCAATACCAAGGAATTCTGGGTAAACATGCCAAATTTGATGACTCACCTCAAAAAGGTGTCTGAACAAAAACCCCAAGCTACCTATTATAATGTGGACATGCTCAAATACCAGGTAAGCCTATTTATGTGGTCAAGGTGTCTCTTTCAAAGCACAAATTTATATTCTAAATGACCTAGTATTGCAAGAAAATAAGTAAAGTAGCATTTCTGTCAATGTTATGTAAAAGCTACAATTAAAAGAAAATAGAAGTGTTAAAGGACCATTTGGGAATAGTGACAAGAATATTAATACATATTCTTAGTTTAAACTTACCAGTGAAGTATTTTTATTTAAAAAGTACAGAAATATGCCACAAAAAATGAAATTGCAAAAAAATTATACCCATTAAGATTGTAGGTACTGATAAAATAGATCACTGTCATATTATTAAGAGAATTAGGGTATTAGTCAGTTTTCCCACTGCTGAGACGCTGACACCTATGATCTAAAGGAAAAGAGGTTTAATTTAGCTCATAGTTTCAGGAGATTCAGTCCATGGTCAGCTGGTCCAATGCAGGAGCATCGTGGCAGAAGGGCATGGCCAAGCAAAGCTGCTTAGTTCATGGCAGTGGGAAGCCAAGCAGGGGAAGAGGCAGAGAGGAAGGGACCAGGGACCGGGGACCAGACACAAGGCCACACCTCCATGACCCACCCAGACACATCCGACAGAATGCTCTACTGATCTGCTAGGCACTTCTTTTTTCTTTTTTTGGTACCGGGGATCAAACTCGGGACCTTGCACTTGCAAGGCAGGCGCCGGAACCACTGAGCTACATCCCCAGCCCTGCTAGGCACTTCTTAACCCAAAGTAGTTCACGTATCAGGATTATTAACCATCACAATCACTAATCTAAAACTTCTTATTTCAAATGATTCTAAGTAAATAATCTGGATTTTTCTAATGCAATAGTCCTATGAAACAGTTCTAATAAAACTTAACATTAAGAGAGAATTCAGCATCAAAAGAATGTTTGATACAACACAATACTGCACATGAGAACTCTGTTTTGTCCAGAGATGCCCTTTGCCTGAAATTATTACTAATCTAGTAAATAAGCCTATTTAAAAACAAGACCCCATAGCACCTGGGTATACCACTCATTCCAGCCACTTGATACCTTGGATCATTGTTTTTCTTGTATTTGTTGGTGGTGCTGGGGCTGCAACCTGGAGCCTCAGGCATTCTAGGTAAGTACTGTACCACTGAGGACATTCCCAGCCCCTCCCAGACCATTGTTAGTGCATAGTAATTTTGTGATGAAATATCTTCTGATTATATGTTTGGGGGTGGAGAAAGCTGTATTTTAGTAGAAATCGGTACATCTCAAACATGACTGCACTTTTCAGTTATCAGAGAACTTGTAAACAGATGCTAGCACTGAAGTACATACATATATATATATGTAGATGTAGATGTGTCTTCACTCTGATACCCCAGAGACTTTTGTTTAATTGTCTCAGGATATGACCCAGTGTCTACATTTTCGGTAGGTTCCCTGAGTGATTCTAAAGCATCTTATGGTTTAAAAAACACTTATTTAAAGCACTGTAAGGAAACCACTGAAAGTGAACTACCCATATGATGGTACGTTTTACAAAAATGCAAACAAATGAGAATAGCATTATTTAAACTTTGGACATCATAGATAATATAAGAACTAAGGAATAAAGCATGTGGCATACATTCATCACTTTAAAATATGATAGAAAACGTATTTTTTAAATTTTTTTCCAAAATGTTTAAGCTTGTTTAGTGGATGCTTGATGCTTGTGAGAGAAATGAAAAGAAGTAAGAAATGGAATCTCCCGGTGTGATGTTCGCCTGAATGAGAAGCTCAGCATCGGGTTCTTGCATGGTTCCCGTGTCCACATGTGAAAATGGAATGGTGGTTATTTTCCTTCATGAATTCTAATTATAAGCACTGCAGCTACATTTTCATTTCAGTCTTTTTTTAACTGTGGAGACTTAAATCCTGTGGAGTTCTTTCAGTCTCTATATTTGTTATTAAGTGAGGAGCCTAGAAAGTAGACAGTTCTTCTACTGTAATATGAGCACTGTGTAAGCTGTCGAGTGCAGCCGAGCACTGCATTCAGTAGACTTCCTGGAGGCCCTGACCCTGGGCATTTATTCTCTGACAGGCTCAGTTTCCTCAGCTGCAAACTGAGGTATGGGTAATGGCCGTACCTACCTCAATACTGTCCAGGCCACTGTAAGAGGTAGTAGCCTAATACATTTCCAAGCACTGTGTGGCATGTAAGGAACCCTATTCCTGCCTTGATTTTCAAGTGTGCTCTGAGGAATCCCTTTTGTTAGTATTCACTTGTGTTTTTCAACAATGCCAGGAATTGGGAGGGGGACACAAGTAGCATTTTGTGCTATTTACCTTAAATCTAAGCTTGTGTAGTTTCTGGCCACCAATAGCATGTCCCAGAAATGAGGAGAACCAAAACCTCAAACTCCCCTTCACCTCTGCAAAAAGCACTTCCATGGGTAGAGGTAGTGTCCTGCTGGGTGGGAAGGACAGAAAAGGGGTAATGAGGGAAGGTGTAACTGCGTTTACAGAAAGGGATTGTACTGCTAACAGTATTTAAAGTTTAAAAATTATTATTGTGGTTTCCTGGCTGTATTTGTCATCAAAAGTCCTATCTGACATCTTATACATGAACCTAGTCCGGACTGGTTTCCACAGAGACCAGTTCAGCCTTGGAGCACACCCGCCCCTGGGACTTTCCCCAGGGCAACCCGTGTGCCCTTCCCTAGGGAGCTGCCTGTGTTCTCCAGGAACAGAAAATGTGAACTCCATGCACAAAAATCCAAGGACAAAGGACCCTCACACAGTTCCTACGGCGTGCACAAACTTTGCAGAGTAGAACCTGTCAGAGGTCTACGCACTATCACAGTAAACAATCAAGAAATTCTAACTGGATTGTTCACTGGTGACCCACACCAGTGTCTTAACTTACGATGAAATTCTTTGATTCTCCAAACTTGGCTTTTCCTTGGTCTAACTCATTCGTGGACAGCTCTAACTAGAAAGTGATACTTCCAGTTAGAGGAACTGGGTTCAAGTCCTCACTCTGGCAAATCAGGAAGGAGTGATACTACCTGCTTGGTTTTTTTGTGAAGAGCAAAAATGCAAGAAAATTACTAAGTGACATTTATGAAAACCTCAGTTCCTTGCTGGTGTTAGACTCTGTGCTGTTCCATCTCCAATTTCCCTCATCATCCAGTGGGGAAAGATCATTGCCACAGTTCCCATCGGGCAAATGAACAAATAGCTGAGGCTCAGAGAAGGTGGGTGACTTGTCCAGGGTCCCTCGGTGACATTGCACTAAAGACTGGCCCTCTCCTGGGCGCCCCTCACCAAGCTGTGAATGCAGCACAGACATCAGAACACCGGGCCACCAAGGCAGCGCTCCGGGAGAGAGCCACAGCTCCTCCTGGTTTTGCTTCAGATCCAAGGTCACGCCTGACTATTCTCTTTCCTGTCTTTTGGCCAGGTGTCAGCCCAGGGCATTCAGTCCACACCCCTGAACCTGGCGGTGAACTGGCGGTGTGAACCAGCCAGCACCGACCTGCGCATCGACTACAAGTACAACTCGGACGCCATGGCCACCGCAGTGGCCCTCAACAACGTGCAGTTCCTGGTCCCTGTGGATGGCGGTGTGACCAAGCTCCAGGCCGTGCTCCCGCCAGCCGTCTGGTAAGAAGAGCTCCTTCTGGAGGTGGAACCAGGGCCTGCACGGAGCGGCCTCCCCAGCCCTCCTGTATGCTTTATTTTGAGACAGGCTCTCCTACAGCACCAAGTTGCCCGGGCTGGGCTCGAATTTAGGTCGCAGGCTTTGTAACACCTGTGTCTCCCTTAGAAGGAGACAGCAGCGTGTGCAAGCGGGTCCAGGGCAGGAAGCCGAAACTACTGCAGCTGTTTTGTTTTTGTTCCTACTTTTTGCTTTTTAAAAAATGTTTTAAAATTTAATTAGTGCCTGTCTGCAGTAAATAACCATCACAGTCGTCTTGGGGAGTCGGTGCACGGACAGAACCCGTCTTCATTCCTTTTCATCCCTTCCCCTCTCCCTCGCCCTCCTTCCAACCCCAGTCCCCTCCCATCCAAGAAGACCTACCTCCCCGTTTTCTATTATCCATCTTTATTTTGCTCCATAATTTATTTATAACTTAAGTTTCTTATATGATATTTATGTGACATTTAAGCTCATGTGTCTGATTTACCTCACTTAGCATTATGATCTTAACGTGCATCCGTTTTCCTACAAATGACTCAAGTGTATCCTTCTTTAATTTTTAAGTTAAACTTTTGAAGATCTTTGTTTTTAAAGTGAGCATTATCTGGGTAAAAATATGGAATGCATCTGGAAAAGCTTTTGTCTGTCTCATTTTCAGGAATGCTGAACAACAAAGAATATTGTGGAAGATCCCTGATATCTCTCAGAAGTCAGAAAACGGAGGTAAGGGAGTCACAGGCTTGTTTTATTTAATATGCAGAGCCAATCTACTTGGAGATATCGGCCAGCTAGGAACCAAAGTACACATAGTACTAAACACAAGCAGCATGTTTGACAACTTCATTTTTGCTTTTAGGTATTTCAATCAGTAAAGGCAGAGAATCCTCCAGTGACTCCTCCCCTTCCTCTTCCCCTCTTGCTACCAAGATTCAACCCCGTGCAGATGTCCTTGGGACAGAGAAGTGCCCTGCCTTCTCCATCTGCCCCCAGACCCCGCACCCTAGATGGAGTAGTGAACATCACTTTCCTCAATGCAACCTTAGACGGGAAAGTACAGGCCCCTCCGTATAGTGCAACCCCAAATTTTGAAGTACCATTTTGCTGAATTGCGCTTTTACCGGTGTCCAAAGAGAATTTCTCATGATATTCAGTGATACATTTTACTTATCACTGTTTTGTCCCTGAAGAATTTATTATTTCGTAGCAAGTCCAAATTCATGTGCTAACTTCCAAACAGAATTTTCAAAATTGTATCTAAATGTTGCCTTGACCATCATATTGTAATAATTCTTTTTGGTTTTAGGGGTGGGTTCTCTATTGGCAAGATTTCAGTTATCTGAAGGTCCGAGCAAACCTTCCCCGCTGGTTGTCCAGTTCACAAGTGAAGGAACCACTCTTTCTGGCTGTGACATTGAACTTGTCGGAGCAGGGTATCGATTTTCACTCATCAAGAAGAGGTTTGCTGCAGGTAGGTGGCTATCTCGAAATTCACTGGCACAAATAAGGTTGCCTTAATTCTTTTCCCTGAGAAGAAACAGGTCGTGGTTTTCAAAGCATCTTCCCCTCCCTTACTTCTAACCCCACCCCACTTGGAAGGCGGACCAACTGTTGAATGAAGCATAAATACAACATGAACTTGAAGTCAGGAATTCTCTGGCTCCTTCTTTGGCTGCGCTGACCAGCCATTTCCACTCTATAGACGTGTGTTTAAGCTCCATGGAGTAAATTCGGCCTTTCTTACATTGACAAAGAGGACAAAATGCTCTTGGCTTCTGGATTTGTGTTCCACCTGAAAACTAAGAAAAAAGGAGAAAAAGAACGCACAAAACTTTTGACATGCTTCTGACAAAGGAGTATTAGACTCCTTGAAAACTTTTGTTCTCCAACAGGACTGTACAGATTTTAGATTTGCCAGGCTTACCTGAGACCTAGGAGGGTCTATTTTTTCATTTTACCTTTTTCTTTTTTTGGTACCAGGGATCGAACTCAAGTTCTTGCACTTGCAGGGCAGGTCGTGGAACCACTGAGCTAAATCCCCGGCCTATTTTTTCATTTTAACCCAATCGTAAGAATCTAGGCCACAGATTGGAACTGTTTCCCATGAAGTGGATGTGGCCTGAGATGGGTTTTTGGGGGCACAAATGATTGGTTTTTTTCAAGGAGGTAGGAAGTTCCCCCAATAATAGGCTGATTATATTTGTCAGTGATTTGCTGGTATAAATCCTGGGAAGGATTTCTTGGGTTTTTCATTTATTTTTATTTAGTGGGTTTTTCGTTTTCTTTTTCTTCCTGCGTTGGCGGTCACAGTGCTAGGGAAGCGCTGTCCACTCTGCCATCTCTGCAGCCCCTAAATCTCATTTTGTCTGGCTGTTACACTGACGCAGTCAGTGATCCCATCATTCTCAACAATGACCCGAATTGGAAAATTCATTATTTGAGCACTCATCCTACAATAATTTGGATTCTCACATGCAAGAATTAATGCTCCATATTTACACTTTCAGTTTCTCACACTAGAGAAACTATTCCGTATTTACACATGTGTGTCCTGTTTATTTCACTTAAGAGTATCGCCTAAAAGGTATAATAGATAATGTGAAATAAGAACAAAAGGGACAAAGGGGAAGGGGAAGTGGGAGGGGTAGGGGAAAGGAAAATATGAGAAAATGTAAAGATGGAAACAAAGTCTTTGTAAGTAGGGAGGGATGGAGGGGTTGAAGGGAAGGCAGGGGAAGGGGGAAAGAATAAGAACCAAGAGAGATTATGTAAAGGTGCAAATTTCCAATAAAAAAAAAAAGAAAACTATCCTAGAGAAATTACACTTTTTCCAACTTTGGGCTCCATATATTCCTATTCTGGACTGTTGCTACTTTTGAGGGGGCATAGAAAAAAAAGAATTAACGCTCCAGCCTATTCTCAGCAAAACCCAAACCTCTACAAATGACTCACCTCTCGAAGTCTGAAAAGGCACCTCGTTGACATGGAAACTGAAAACTTAATACTTTAATGCATTTTATGTTAGTATTTACCCCCAAGTATGTACTCTAAGAGGGAGGGTGGGAGGAATAGAAATGTTACTCATTTATCAATAATCACTCAATAATCACCCTATTGAGCCAGCAGGTAACCTGTTAATATGTTTCTTTTGCAGGAAAGTACTTGGCAGATAACTAATAAAATCTTTTTGCAAGGATTTGGAGGAGTCATATAAGGCAGAGCTGCTGTGTGAGAAACAGGTTTTGACTCTGGTTTGATGAGAACAAACTCAGGTCTGCACCCGGGAGGGATCCACGGGCAGTCCTGACAGGCCGCACTGCCCTTGAACCTGCGTGATGCCGCAGTCCTCCAGTATTTACTTTTAGGTGTAACATTGTTAATGGTTTTAAAATGTAATTATTGTATTTGTAAATTGTACTCATCCCAGTAAGGCAGTTAAACACTTGAGTTTTAGCATTTTACCATTCCTGAAACAGATGTAATTTAAACCGTGGTATGTAAATTTAATAGTAGTACTGTCAGAACGGCACAGTGCTTCCAGAGGTACATTGCATTTTGTCAATACGTAAAATTTAAATATAATGTTGATAGCTGTCAGAAGGGGGTGCCACATATAAAAAAGCTTAAATGGAACCAGGAAGAAAAAAACTGCTTTTCTTCAGTCCTTAGTATGTTTTACTCTAGTGCTAAAGAAAAATTCTATCTTCGAATGTTTAGTGGGCTAAGTTCAGAAACTATTTCAGAAAAAAAAATTCTAAGGTTACAGCATATTCAGAGAAGCATTAATTACCACTTTTTAAACAGCTTTTTTTTCAAACTGCAAATTTCATAAAAATGCAAACTGTGTAAACAGGGCCTCTTATTTTTGTAACTTATGTAAAAAAGTGAAAGCAATTCATATTTAAAGTTTAAGTATATTAAATTATAATCAAGAGTAAAGAAGATGTTGAAGTCTTAACTACTTCCCCCTCTCTCTACAGTTTAGCATATGTGGAGATTGCTGAATAACCAGTCAGACCAAAATCAAAATTGTGATTTTTAAGTTTCCGAGTTTTTCCATAATTGAACTGGTTAACAAGTTTTGCACAATTATTCTGAACAGACGGTCTCTCCCTCCTGCATGGGACAAAGATACCTCAAGTCTTCCTCTTCACCCACAGAAATAAAAACATCAAGAATGAGAATCTTAGGGGAAAAAATACTTTTTAGTTTCCTGTTTTGATCCAGAAGGAGAATTTTAATTGTCAACATGTATATCAATTAGGAAGGAACAAATGTGGTTTAAAATTGAAATTCTATTCACATTATTGTGCAATAAATTTCCTGTTGGATAATTAAGATTCACTGTATAAAATGCAAATCTCTTGTCATTCTTGGGGAATGAAGAGAAGAGTTATCCAAGTCATTTTACTGTTGCAAAATAAAATAAGAACTGCAATTCTTCAGCCTGGCCCCACAATGCGGGGTTACAGAGACAACAGCTCCACCTGTCCCCGCTGTAAACCCTTCCCCCGTTACCATCTGAACCCATTCGTCTTCCTTTAAGTCACAGAGCTTGTTTTAAACATAACCAATTCCCATCCTAGGTTATACTACCAAACAACTAAAATTAAGCTGTTATGTTTATCATTTGTTGCTAAATTTCATCTTCTATTCACTCAAATGAGACAAAGAATCTTTAGCTCCTTTAAATTTGGGGATCAAGTTAAATTTTTTAAGTCTTATTTTTAAAATAAGATTGTGACTGGCAGTTGTTTATAGTGGAACTTTTTAAATTAATATTTGTACTCTTTAGTCAGGGCTACCAAGAGTATATGCAAAAAGATGGGTCTTACCTTCTCAGAATTCTTAGGACTCAAACTCTCATTGGGCTCCCAACAGGACTTTCATGCTGAAGTTTTTTCAACAAACTAATTAACATATTCATTTTAAGTAAAGATATTGTATTTGATTTTGAAACCAAAATAGAAAATTGGAAAAAAAAAAAATTTTTTTTTCATCCTATGAAGCCTGTGGAAATTTAGAACACAAAAACCAATAAAGAGTAAATAGCAGAAAACTGAGAATTATCCAGCATATGACTATAAACATGTGTTTTTAAGTAATCCGTTCATGAAAAACATATTGAGTATTAACAAAGCATATTAAAAATGTGTAAATATTATGGTTCTCATGTCTTTCTCTTCATATCTTATTTTATATAGATTTAAAATGAATTAGTAATTAAACACAAGGTTTACTTTTTTCAAAAAAATTTGATTGATATTGTAAAAATGTCATTAAAAGCAGGTTTCAATAATCTCTAACACTATTCAAATGTTTCCAGGAACTAAATTTGAAACTATGAAGAAATCCTAGGATTCCACAGTTGGCCTTTATGAAATAGAATAGGAATCAGTGATTTCAAAAAGTACTGACACTTGATAACCAGGACCTTAATAGAGAAGGGACTGTCGTGCTTCCTGAAAATCGGGCAGTTCAGAGTGGGAATTTAGACTTTGATGCTTTGTTTTGTTTTTTAATCTTGTGGGTTATAATCTGCTCCTAAGCCTATACCTGCAGTACTGTAGAATATGAGTTTATGTTTTGAAAAAGTATCCTAGTCCATGCCGGAGTCTCAGTTGTCAACGGCCTGTCAACTTAGGTTCCTTATCTGACCTATGCCGGATCAAAATGGGCCTGCCCAGAGTCAGGTGACCCTCTGGACTAGCGATTAAAGTAGAAAGAAATTCCAATTAACAAGAACATTATTTCCTACAAATTACAACTTTAAAAACTCTGCTCTAGAAGATAGAAAGTATAAATGATACTACTTTATTTTGGCAACATGGAAAGTATGTTTTTCTCTTCGAATAAAGCCCATATTTTCTTGAAATTTTTAAAAATAATCAGTGACCTGCATTTTATCATAATTGGAATTTATAATTACTAAGAATTAAACTTTTAATTTTTTTTAAAAAAGATCTGTTTTATGCACCTGCACCCAACATGGAAATTCACTGTGTAGCATTTGAGAATATTTTGCCTCTTAAGAAAGAATGACCACGTTTCAAATGGTTTTGATTGAATGTACATATAGGAATGTCTCAGAAGACAAACTACAGATACTCATTTTTGTTTTCATATACATGTTTTTACTCAGTCTGCAAAGTAATTGAGCCATAATTACACATATTTCCAGTTTTAAATCTTCTCTTCAAAGAAGCAGAACTACATTAGCTCTACCCCTGATTCCACCATGTGACCTCGCATAAGTCACTGACTTTTCTGGTTTCTCTCCTTAAAGCGAGGGCTGGGACTTCTAGTGGTTTTCCAGCTTTCTGTAATAGGACTTTCTAAAAATAAAATTGTGCATAGAATCCTGTTAGGCAAAACATCTCCAAGCAGTGAAGGAGCTTCTTTAGAAGTCTAATATAAACATGATAACAACACATAAAAGAGCTATAAATTGTCTTCCAACTCTCAAGTTCCATGATTATCCTTTTCTCAGATAACTCACCTCTTAAGGCTTCATAAATAAACATGTATACTCATAGTAATCAGCTGATACACAGTAGACATGGCCATGTACCTGAGCGTTTACCAAGTACAAATTGCTACAGATACCAGCTCATTTAATGCTTATAAAATTTCCCAAATGCTGAGAGCCTAAGGACTATTTTTAATTCCCACTTACCCCTTATGACATTGAGGTTCAGAGAGACTAATTTTCCAGTTGCCCAGTTAACTTGAAAGAAAAAGTGTCTGATCTGTTTTGCTCTGTCCATTCCGGGAAAAGCTCTATTTTACTGTCTATACTCCACTTGAATGCCAAGGTGGAGGGCAGCATGTGGCATTGAAATGAGAATAATTCTGATAACAAAACTGTTGAAAAGAATCAGTGGTCCTCAAAGTGTGATGTGCAGACCACTTGTATTCTCAAATAAGAGACAATGATTTAGAGCAAATCATTACTCTGTCCCCAGAGCCTAAATGTAGTGGGTGTCAATCAGTTTTATTGAATTAGTCTCTAGGGATGGGATTTGGGAATATGATTTTGATAACCACCCCGAATTTGAGAATCATTGCCCTTATAGATCTCTAAGGTCTTTTTTAGTTCTGACATTGTATCAGATTTGAAGCATTACATCCTAATTTGAGTATCATTTTTATACTTTCATTCAGTCTACTGAACTGCCTTCAACCTTATAAGAAAAAAAAAAAAAAAGTGTTCTCCCTCCCTAGGAAAATCCCTATTCTTTCTGTATTTTTGTTGTTGTTGTTATGCTGTCTCCTTCCCACAATAGCCTAAAATGTGCTCTCTTATTTGCATATTCCTGTCCTTTCGATGTCTTAAAAGTCTTGAAGTAGTAGGAAGAAAAGTTACAAACTGTCACAAGTAAAGTCCTTTCCTGGAAAAGAACACCCAGACCCGGAACTTGTGAGTTGACTTTATTCATTTTGCAGGCTTTTGACTTTTCAGGCACCTACTGACCTCACTCCAAGAGTTAGAAGCATCACTTTTGCATTTTTTTTCAAAATAATCAGGGCTTATTGATTAAAGTTGACAGATACAGTAAAATATGCAGATGTCTACTAAAGAGCACACATTTGCACAAAGTCCCATTCAGTCTACATGGGATTATTTTGCCACTTGATGTTCTTCTGATCAGCGGTTTTGTAAGAAAGGAAAGCAGGATTTTTAAAATAACATTAAAATTGAGGAGGGCTCTAAATATAGCTTTAAATTCTAATAGGTTTCCCTGAAATGATTCAAATTAAATTACTCTCAAATGAGCAAACCAGTCCATGTGACACTAATGGAGGGCCTATTATGATGCTCCAACTCCCAGCCCTCACTGTGTGCTCTGCTCTCTGAAGGTTTTATGGTATTTTCCCTGCTTTTTTGGCCTTTTAATGTTAAATTTCATCCACGGTGAAAAAGAGATGGAAGTAAAGTACTTAAAGTCTCCAAATAGATAAACAACAAAACACCCATTCTCCTGTCACTGCTCTGATGCTCTGTCCTTTGCAGGATTCTAGGGCTGCATTTTAAACATTGCCTGGAAGTCTAAGTCTCTTTCCTCATGGAATGTCACATTTTAGTATTTTTTGAGTTGACTATGGTGAGACTGATTGATCGGCCTTTGTGTTTAATGTCTGATTGCTATCCTACTGGGGCAATCTTCCAAGCAAAAGCCTCCATTTGGCCGATGGTTCACCATGGGTATCGTAATTTATTCTCTACTTTCAAAGTTATTTTTCCTTTGATATATAGTATTTCTGATTACCTCTTTCTATCCTTAGAGTAATGCATCACTTCTTCTAAATGCATTTCCAACCTTATAAGAAAAGATGTTTCAATGAAAAGTAAATATATTTTAAAAGTCCCTTCATGTTATAAAGAAAAAGAGTGAGTATATTGGGCTGTATTCAGCAGTAGCACAATGTCTTCCCAGTCCTGTTCAGGTCTACTAATTTGGGCAAATGTTCATGGCAATCCTGAGAACAAACGGAACTGTGCAGTCCTTCTCATTCCTGGGACATTGACAATAAATGTTCATGTTTTAATGCAACTTGAGAATCTGATTGGATCAGGAAGACTTTTTGTTTCTAAGCACCCCTTGAAAACACTTTGGAATTTTTCCTCCTTCAAGAACATCAAATAATAGAATCAAGAATGCTTTGAAAAGATGCTTCCAGGATGTTTTTTAACTTTAAGGGAATTCCTGCCATTTCACATCAGTTGCTATTTTCACTAGTACCTCTTAGTGAATTTAACTTTGTCATCTAAAATATGCCCAAAAAATTCTTTCAGTTTTTTAGTATTATCTTTAACACCTCATCTGCACCTCTGACCACCACACCATGCCCCTATTAGTTAAAGATGTTCAAATTCATGGCAGTATGGAATTCACACTAGTAAATGATCTTTGGTAATATTTTACTAAAAAGTTTTAAGAAACTGAATCCTGACAGATGAATGTTGACAGTATTTTTACATAGGCTCGTTTTAAAATTTGTATGAAAAACATGATCGCTGATGCTAGGGGCAATGTGCTCATCCGCAGTAGGTATTAGAGCTCTACTGCACCCTTCTAATGCACATTTCTGTTCTTTTCTGCTTTGCTAATTTTAAAATTTTTCTCTTTTGTATAAAATCGACACGCTTCCTTTAAAAAAAACTCCTGGGTAAATTATTATTAGATAGCAAAGTGTAAAGCTGAATCATTCTACATTTCCCTAAATATAGTGCATATCTACTCAGAATTTGTGACTCAGTTGATAGATCATAAGCCATCTATAACTTCGAAATATTTCACTGAATGTGTGTATCATACAAATGTTAATTCCATCGCATTCCATTTTATATTACTTTATTGACTTTTCGGCAAAAAAAAATGCATAGTGTCATTCACATATCATCATTTTAAACTATTTTAGATAGTACACCAAATGAGTGTCACAGGGGTCTCGGTCGCAATATCCGGAGCTAGATATTTTCCTTTCCCTGGCGTTGCTGGGATGGCAGTTGTCACCGTGGTGCTGATTTTGCAGGTCAGCCCGGAGCTCTGGCTTTGTCGCTGAGCTGCTCCCGTCTGCTTCTCCCCTCCCTCCCCCACTTCACTTCCTCCTCCGCTCCTCCTTCCCTTCCCTGCTGACCCTCTCTTCCCCTCCCTCTCTCTCCCTCCCACACCCCTTTCTCTCAGCCCAAAACAACAACAACAACAAACAACAAAAAAAAGGGAATTGGACAATTGCTGCTGAATAATTTTTCCTGAAAAAACAGAGAGTTCGGATGATGAAAACTTAGTCTTCTCTGAGAGCAGAGCTTTACTACAAGCCAAGCAGTCGTTTACAGGGCTGACTTTTTAAGCTGTCTGAACATCATTGCATTTTAATCTAAAAGAATTTTATTTTTCACATTCATAGGAAAATATGTGTCAATGGAATGGTGAATTTTTAACTTTCATTGCTATAAAATGGCAATGTAAGCCACTGATTTAAAAGAAAAAAACTTGTATTTTAACAATAAGAAACTAGGAAAGGAATCTCAGAGAAATTTCTAAAGATAATGAAATGCAACCAACAAAAGAAAATACTGTCATGCCCGTGTGAACTTTGATTTGGTGGCAGTCTTAGGGTTCTCAATCCTGTGAAGCAAAAGTACACTGAATTCCTTTGTAATCTTGTACTGAGTACATAACTTCACAAAATACCTCCTACATAAAATAGTTACGAAAGGTATTGTGGATTACAATACTCGTGATGCATCTTAAATTTAACCAGACGGTTGCTGCCTCGTGTTTTATTCCTACACGCTCAGTTCAGTCCAGTTTTCTGATAGCCATTACTGCTCAGCCCGGGAGGGGCTCCACTGTCTATGCAGCACTCAGATAACCAGCAGTAGCAGCTTGTCCTCCTGCGGGTGAGGACACAGATGTGGAGCATCAGCTTGGGGAAGATAATCTTAAGACCATCTTAACGTTACTTGCCTTATAAGTTAGGAAAAGTGTGGATATCACTTTTTTGTAAATGATGATTTTTATAAAAGTTTCTTCCTTCATGATTTCCCAATCATCCATTTCACAAAATCTTGAATATGCAAGTCTTTATCATGACACAATTCTTCAAATAGAGTCCACATTTTGAATCAAGTTGAATTCTACAGTGAGTAAGTTGTTATTGAAATGTGACTTTTTTTCTGGAAAAATAAATTTAAAAGTATGGAAATAAATCGAGTTGTGAAACTCTTTTATTGCCAACCTCTTAAAACTTTTGCCTGCGTTTCCGGGAAATGTCGTTGCATATTTGGGGTGGGGAGGGCAACTGAAAGGTCTGGCAAAGGCCAAGGACTTCCGGGTGGGACAAATCCCCGCTCCAGAACTAGCTGTCGGCTCCAGGGAGCGTGTTACCCGATGATTCTCCACTTCTTTATCTTCCAAAAAATGAAACCTTAAATATCACATGCCTTCTCTTAATCGAGAGACCCGAAGTATAGATAAAGGCCAAGGCAGCTAGCAGGAAGTAGGGAGAAAGGGCTTTTGCAGATGTGAGCGTCCGAGAGTTGCGAGAAGGGAAGGGAACCTAAAAAGAAGTAAGATGAGACATGCGTACGGGCCAGATCCCCACGATGGCTGCAACCGTTCTGTGCCACAAACCTACGGATAAAATTAATACTGATAAAAATAAAATGCAAATATACTGCAATGCCCAAAACTTTGAAAAGATTGAAGAACGTGATCCCCAAACCACTGCATCATTAGCCCATTCAATAAGATAGCATTTAATCAGTTTCTCGGCAGCTCCAGCTACTTCTAGGGAGATATGCAATAAACAGCCCTTTCCCGTGTTACCTTTCTGTGAAAGGCGACTGGGATGGACCAGAAAACTTGACTGCCCTCCTTCCAAGTCTGTCCTAACTCTGCAGCCGGCCCTGTGCTGACTGAGACCTGCAGCGGCCTGCAAGGGTCCTGCTCAGGGCTGGGGCCCAGAGGTCACCTTCTCTCCTCCTCCCGTGCCTGATCCGGCCGAGGTGCGGTGGGGTCGCTAGGTTGGCTTTGCTTGTGGTTGGGGGAAGGACGAGGCCCCTGGGCCCGAGAAGGCAGCTTCAGAGGAGGCCGTGAGCCACGCAGGGCGCCCGCGGCCCCGTCCCAGCCGCCACGGAAAGCGACGGCACGAGGCCAGGCTTTCGGGACCCGGCCCTGGGTTTGACATCACAGGGTCTCCGCGGCCTACGTCTGAAGGGAAGAGCGGGCCTTGCCCCGCGGAGCTGCGACGACTGCGCGAAAAGCAGGTGCCTCCTCCCCCGCCCACTTCCCCTCTCGGCTCGGGGGCTGCGGGGCGGGAGCCCAGGAGGCGCTGTTTGGGAGGTCGCCGTGGAGACGGAGGTCGCCGGAGGCGGAGGGAGCGCCAGCTGGGTCCGCGGGGCTGCGGTGAGCGGGACTGCGCGGGGGGCGCGGGGGGCGCGGGGCAGGGTCTCTCCGCCGCCGATCCCACGCTCTGCCAACAAATCAAAGAGCAAGACAGGGAACCCCGCCTCTGGGGGCAGGCGAGGTCCCGCTGTGGCCCCTCAGGGTCCCCGGCCCTCACTGTGACCCTGGCCGGGACCCCGGACTCCGCGGGGCGCACGGCTGGGAGGATGCGGAGACCTGGGCTGAGGGCGGCGCGCCGGGTGCGGGGAGCAGGGTGCGTGCGCGGGGGTGCGACACGCGCCGCTCCGCCCCTGCCCCCGGGACCCCCGCCTGCCCAGGCTGAGCTGTGGCCGGATGTGGGGTCTGCTCGCCCCAGCTCCGCATCTCGGGTCCGACTTCCTGCCGGGCACAGCGTTCCCCAGTTCAGTTCCGACAGCTCAGTGAGCCCCTGGAGCGCAGACGGCAGTTCGAGGTCTTCGGCTCTTTAACGGGCTCGGCTCTTTAACCAGCATTTGCGAGAGGGGCCAGGACTTTAAAGTTAGTTCCTATTTGCTCTTCCAAAATAAATTACTGCTGCTTGCAGAAAAAAAAAAAACCCTTTGGGGAAAATGGTTAGTTTTAGTTTTTGAAGCAACAACGAATATTAGCAAACTTTTATGAAGATTAAATATGGGGACCATCAAAATAATGGTTTCTGGTGTGGGAGCTCATCTCTCTTTTCCAATTACTTTCTCCCTCGGCCAGGGAAGCGTTTTTGTGGCCACTTTGTATCCGCTTGTGTGAATCAGATACACTGCTGGATAAACACTTTTTCAGAGCCTCTGATTTCCAAGTGTACAGACCAGAATAACAGCACCTGCCGTGCATTGCTCTTGCGGAATCCCCTACTCTCGTGCAGTAGGGTGGCAAAAAGTGCCTGTGTACGTTATTTGGGGCGGTTCGCTGTTACACCAACTAAAATGTTTTCAGATCTTTCTGGTGCTATTTTACAAAATTCTTCTTCCCTAGAGCGTGATGATGTCGGACAGCGCTAAAGACAGAGCCCTTCACTCACTGAGGAAAAAGGGAGGTCTGTCCCCTCTAAGTGGCCTCGAGTTCCACAGAAGGGAAGTTCAGGCCCGCAGCAAAGAGTGAGTAGCCGGTGCCTGATGCTTCACTTCGATTATGGAATGGACGGGTTTGTAATGTTTATCAGGAGGGGAACAAACACATCTCCTTGGGGAAGTAAGAGAGAAAACGGTAAGTACAAGGTTAAATTCATCTTTTGGGCCATATTAAAAATAAGAAAGAACAGGTACTTAAGTGAAAGGTTGATGCTGTCGGCATTTTTACTATTTCCAAGACTACCCCACACCCCTCAATTCCAGACAAACACCACATGCAGTGCAGACCAGCTACTCTTACAAGATCTCTTGGGTTCTTCTCTATATCATATTAACTACATAGTTTGTATGTACATTTATATGTTAATCAGTATATGAGGCATAAGACAAATGTGCTATGTGTTTAAATTTTTAAGATGTATTACAGCAAAAGACATATTACCATGAATCCCCCTCAAAACACTGCCTGACCTCAACCTCACTTGTCCCACTGTCCTGGACACTTCCTGCAGCAGCTCTGGAGTCCTCTCTCCTGCGTTTCTTTAGTTGTGCTGTCCTGGCTGGCTCAATGTCCTGAATTGATTCAAAAACATTTCCCTTTCATGGTCATTTTACTATGGGGAAGAGCAGGAAGTCACACAGTGCCGCATCTGGTGAATAAGGTGGATGAGAACACAGCATCATGTTTTTATTTGACAGAAATTAATTTAAACATTTTGCAACAATTCAGGACATAGGGGGCAGCCATGAAAAGATCCTCAGGAAAGAGGACTTCCAGAACTGCTTCGGAAATTGACAAGAACCGTGGGATAAGTGTGTTCAAGCGGGGCGGGGGGGATTGATGATAATGTGTCTTTTACTGTAATATTTTAAAATTTAAATATCCAACATGTATTTTGAGCACCTTTTTACATATACAATCCACTTGACATTAATACAAATTCTGTACTATATTTTCATAGTCTTTCTCTCTAGCCTTTTAAATGGCTGTCTATATTTTGTGAATTTATAATCTGAATTAACATTCTCCAGTTACTGGACAATTGAAGTTTGTTTCCACTTTTTCTTTCTCACAGTATAGTAACACTTGCCTGGGTTATTTCTCTGCAGTATGATTATTGGGTCAAAAGCACTATTTTTGGCTCTTGCTACATACTGCATTTGCTCTCCTAAAGAGATGAATCAATTTTTAATACTTGCATGGCCTTGGAAAGTAAACAAAGTACCTGGTAGAGTGGTCATGATCTTATATGATAGGTTTTCCTTCTTAACAGTCTTCACAGTGCTGAAGGGTGTGACCCACTAAGCCCCCTGGCTGCAGGCAGGAATTGTTGTGCACAGGGATCAGAAGCCAGGAGAAGTGGAATAATTAGTCCTGAAACCAAGATCCTTCTGTTCTCAGAATGTATTCATGCGCTTGCTCACAGCCCTGCTCTCCAGCTCTGGAAGTCTGAGGGTTCCACACACGTGTTCTCTGTGGCAAAACAGTGGCAGTCCTACTGGATAAGAAAGGCTGGGAGGAAAATTAGCCTGTAAAGGTTACTTAATTCTTTTGCTTCTGACCTGGAACCATTCTGGCTGCTCTTTCCAAAATTTCAGTATGCAAGTTCTTTTTAAAATTATTTTAAAATAATTACTTGCTTAAGTTCAATTTACTTGTTCCAGGAAAATACTTAAATAAAAATCTGGCATGATGTCCCCATGATTTTTTTAAATGAGCAAACAGTTCAGTGGCTGTCCTATGCATGGGTCTTCAGCTGGTAAGAAAATCCCAAAAGCTTATAAGCTATCAAGTGCAGGCATCATTGGAAATTATACAGCAGCACACTTCTTTCATTTGGAAGTCATTGTGAAATAATCTTTTGCAAAGATAAAAGTCAAGAGTATAAAGTGTATCTTGAAGTGTGTTGAGGACCTGATACATTGTCACATTTAATCTCCCCAGCATGATCCCTACTACGTAGACGTGGATCATACGGTTTTACTGGGAGATGACTGAGGCTTACAGGTCAAGTAACTTGAGTAGTGCCTGGGGCACATCCATGGCACCATGTGCCCACCGTCCTGCAGCACCCCACCTCCAGCCATACCCCAGGTTCCTTGGCGCTCTCTGGCCTCCCGCCTCTGCCTCAGTTCATTCTCCACTGGGAAGCCCACTCCTTGCCTGCAGTGCCCTTCTTACGTGCTTCTGCTTCCTTTTCCTATTCCTTCAGAGTTGAGCTCCATCCCCAGCTCTCCAGGAAGGTCTGTAACTGTCCAACCATAACCACCTCCACCTCCAAACTCAGGCGGAGGTGCCTTCTTTTACTCCTCTCTTTCCCTCGGCATAGATGTATATTTGGTGATTTCCTTGCCTGCCTTCTTCAAATCCACTGTGGACTTACTTACTTACTTTGTAGCCATGATCACACTGAGTGAGAAGCTAGGCTAGAGAGTAGCAGTAGACCTGTTGGGAAGCTGCTTCTTGGACATAGCATGAGACCAGCATGGACTTAGCCCTTCTCTCTTGGCTTCCAATCTACCATCTTCTGAAGTTGCACAGCAGTGACACCAGGCGCTATAAACATCTAAGTACCTTCAGAATTGTGCAAGGAAAATGAATTTACACAGTATTCAGTATTGTAGGGAACAGGGAAAGGGGATGTTAGCAGAACCCCTGCAGTGGGTCCTGGTCTCCTGTGAGCCACAACAGCACAAGGCAAATTAGAGAATAAAGACGGGAAATGAGACTTAGAGAGGAGCTGGGTTCTGGGCCTGATCAATGCTGCTCTGGGCAGCAACGATGAAGGCACCTGAGGTTAACACTATTTATTAGGTTCATAGAGAGTAACAGATGACTCAGAGGGTGACAGTAATCATAGAAAGATGAGGATCTTATTATTGAAGGAAGTATATGTCTCGGAGGGTGACGATGATCCTAAATTGACAAGGATCTTGTGCTGATGAGGATCTTATGTTGACTGGGATGGTAAGATGAGCAAAGCTGTTCTTACAACAGTAGGTGGGATGAGTTAAGCTGATAAGGTATTTGTCCCTCCCCAGGTGAAATCTTTCTACTCAGTTCTCAAAGAACCAGGATGCCATCAGCTGATGTAATCTTGCCCTTGAGCATCACAGCATCACAGGACCATTGAGTTCTCAGCTGTGACTGGACCCAAAAATAGAGTTATGTTTCAGCATGTCACAGCTGGTCTTCAGGCAAGAAGACTATGCCTAATCATAATTTAATTGTGAAATGATTTTCCCCAAAAATTATGTAGGATGGCTCCTGACACAACATCATTAGTATTAACTGTGTTCAGCATTGGGTCTTTTCTGTCTCAGTTTTGTTTTTATTATAATGTAAATTTCATAATTCATTAAAGAATAAAAGAAGCATCCTAAGGTAGATCTTGTACCCTAATATCATAACTGTTGACATGTTGGTATATTTCTTTTTGTACCTACTTATTTGTCACTGTCCTGCAGCTGTACATCTGTTTTGCTTGTTTCTTGCTTAATCAATAACAATAGAGACGGTAGCTGCTAATATTTATTGCACCCTTGCTGTGGACTCATTTATGCCCCCTAGAATCTCTTGCTATAGGGATTGGTGAGCTACAGCCAAGTATCAAGCATTAACTGCCACCTATTTGGAATTTTCCCTTCAATGAGTATGGCTTTTGCATGGTTGAGAAAAAATCAAAAGAACAACATTATTTGGGTTAAGTGAAAAATTATAAGAACTTCAGTTTCAGTGTCCATAAATAAAGTTTAGCAGAACGCAGCCATTCTTGATCACACATTATCTCCTGCTGCTTTCAAACTCGATGTCACAGAGTCGAGTGTTGACAATAGAAGCCAACAGTACCTGCTGTGGGGCCTCCTACAGAAGAGTTCGCCAAGTCTCACTCTGTAAAGATAAGCACTATTATTATCCCCATTTTACAAATGAAGAAACAGAAGTTTAGACAGGTTGAGGCTACAAAGCTGGAATTAGCAAGTAGCAAAATAAATAAATAATAATAATAATAATAATAATAAAAAGGCTTTTTTTCATCAGCCAAATATTTTCACTCCCTGAAACCAGCAATCCATGTGTAACACATTCATGAGACTACTCTGTATATACCCCAGAACCTTCTGCCTCCCACCCGTGAGTCAGAGCGGGAGTTTACAATGACATCCTTCTCACTGGAAGCTTAGCCTTTGGCAGACATGGGATAGGGTTTGAATATATGAGCTTTTCTTGTGTTCTCAGAATGGAAACAGAATCCATGAGGACAAGTGATATCCCCAGAATGATGTGACATGATACACAGCCTTATTATCCCTGAGGCCGATCCTTCCACTAGAGGCTCAGGGTGAAGATCAAGGCCTGAAGCGTCTCTCTTGGCATCAAACCAAGGTGCGGTGATGTCATGTCAGCAGAACTTTCCATACAGACCTCACCCCTCTCCTCCTGGATCTGTTCCTAACACACCATGTGTACTTTTCACACGCATTTATTCAAGATTTAGTGAGCTTCTACTGTCTCCCTACACTGTGCCACATTAGGCACATAACGGTGAATAACCATGGGGTTCTAACAGAAGGAAACTTGTTTTCCAGGAAACTGAGAGCCACCTGGTAACTTTTTCAGAGTGGGCCAGGTCTTTCACTAAAGTAACCAAATTGGAAAGGATCATGTTCATTACTGAATTCTAAGCATTTATGAACCACACAGAAACAATCCTGCTTTGTAGAATTTAAAATCCGGTGGGAAAGACAATAAACAAGTCATTTTAAATGTGATGAATTTATTACATGATTCCAACCCATAGTACTGCGAGCTGCTCCCAGGCAGCTGCAATGATGTTGCCAGGCCTGGTTCCCCATTTCAGCACCCGTGGGGTGAGGCAGCCATCTGATCAGAGCTGGGGTGAGTGACACTGCCTCCTATATCACACCAAAGTCCCCGTGAAAACTGGCAGAGGGACAGCTTCGCCCACAGGGAGAGAAGCCAGGAAAACTGGAATGGCCACGTTTCCAAATTAAGCCACGATCAT